TATATATTCATGAGTCATACACATCCTCCGTTCAGAACTGGTGTACATGTACAAGCGATCCCCCCCCCCCCTTTTCAACAGGCCCCGTCGCAGATTTAGGTCCAGGAAGGTAAAGTGGTAGTGTTTGGGGAAAAAATGGTACTGGAAGAAATTTGACCCCCCCCCCCCCCAACACACACACACACGAAATAGGATTTTCGTGTTTGGGCAAATGACATATACCCCTTTCTTTTGCTTGTCAAATTTTTTTGTATGTTGGAATTTCTTTACTGACACCCCCATCCCTCTTTCAATTTGTTTCCAATGCCAATGTCTATAAAGACAAAAATAACTAGTTATCATATTCAGTTTATGCACGCAGTGTCGAATTCGCGAATCATGAAAGGGGGAGTGGCAGTTTCGGGCCTGGGTAGGGGCCCACAGCCACATTGAAAATTGATTTATTAAACCTTATGTAAATATATGGACACAAAAAGGGGGCAGACCTATTACAACTTCTCAGACCTTTCCGATGATCGGGAAAATAAACTCATTAACATTTTTACGGGATCATTCATATACCCCCCCCCCCAACACACACACATATGTACCGCAAACAAACAAAATTTATCTTCATTGAATGCAAAGATTCTGCATTATATCTACCTCATGAAAATATAACAACTTTGTCTATCCAGAATTTAAATATATATATATATAGAAAGCGACTCTATTTTGAATAAAATTTTAACAACCAATGTATATAGGAGAAGTTTATTCGAACTTGCCGTAAAGGTTTGCCCTAAATGTAATCTTAATAATTCTTTTTTCTATTTTATTTCTGTTTCCATGGTTCATCCATGTATCAAATATTTGCCCCCCCCCCCCCAGTCATAACCTTTTTTTACTAAGGAAATGTTCAAGTTGACATCCTCACAATTTTTGTGAATGTGATTAATGTAGTAAGTAAGTGTAAAAAAAAAAAGTATTGAAAGATGTTGGAGTTGGAACTTTTCCCCCCTCCCGAATCAAGCAATTGTTTTCTTTTTGTGTTATACCCCCCCCCCCTCCCGAATAAAACAATTGTCTTCTTTTTGTGTTTTTTGCTTGTCAAATACTTTTCAAGTTCGTTAACCACTCACCCCCATCCCCCCTTTTCAAATTCGATTCTAGATGACTGCTATATGTTAGCGTAGATTTTCGTAGATAAGCAACTGAGCATGACAAAATCAACTTGTATTTAATAGTGGGGGATTGAATATGTACAAGATACATCGTTTATGATAAAATTTGTGTATTTCAAGAGATTTAATCCACAATAATACTGTAGAAGTGGAAAACATTACGGTGTTTTTAATTTCACTATGTTCACGATCTAAGAATTTTCCGCGAACTTTTAACCATCGTGATTATTATTTCACGTCATTTCTACCTATACACAGTCACAGTACCTGAATATTTACAAACCATTCTCCGTGAAATTTAAACCACCGTGAAAGGTAACTTTCTTGCAAACCGTGAAATTTTAGACACGTGAAATTAAAGACGTCTACAGTATATTCCGTTTTCCGTTCCGTTCCGCCTTCCGTTCCGTTTTCCGTTCCGCGTTTTAGCAACACCCGCCAATTTAAGTTTTATTGGGATGTATTGGGCCCTTCGGGCTTTATGGAAGATTTGATCATGTGCCAACCCGTTTTACATCCCAATAAAACTCAAAAAAATGATACCTTATTTCTTAAATAAAAAATTTGTTTTAATGAAATAATTCAGTAATGGAAGTTACACACTCTTTGATAGGATAGAAGATTTAGTCTATAATTTATAATTAAGTTGCCTACGTCACAATCAATAACGATAAGAACATTTTCTTCCGTTTAAAGTAACTTTTCAATTACGCGCAATTTATAGACATTTTCGAATGAAAAATTGTCTTGTTGTCCACTTAATGATGTGAAATTGATTTAAGGAATGAAGTTAATTGCTACCAAAGTTAGAATAGTATAACCTAGGTTGGTACAGTTTATATCTTATTAATAAACTGCTTTGCAGACTATATCTTATTTATAAACTGCTTTGCAGTTTATCTAAAGCATAAACAGCCCAAACTCAGCTTGTCAAGTATAACTTGGGTAGCTATGCGAAATTGATTTAAGGAATGAAGTTATGATTGCTACCAAAGTTAGAATAGTATAACCTAGGTTGGTACAGTTTATATCTTATTAATAAACTGCTTTGCAGTCTATATCTTATTTATAAACTGCTTTGCAGTTTATAAAGCACAAACAGCCCAAACTCAGCTTGTAAAGTATAACTTGGGAAGCTATTAAATTCATTCTTTAAATAAACTTGTTTAAACAAGTTCTTTAATTTGTTAAAATGAATGAAATTTGTTTGTAAGTATTTGGAAATTACTTTTATAAAATTCATAAATATTGTACTTCAAGCACTATATGTCAAATTCAAATAAATGAATTTGTTTCAATAAATTTTATAATTTTCAAATGAAATGAATCTGATTGTTAATTTTTTTTAATTTCTTCTAACAAATTCAACAAATCTGTTATATAAAATTTAATTCAAACAAAACAATTTAATAGTTACTGTAATGTATTTGTTACTATAATGAATTAAATTTGTTAAAATATACACTTTGTTTTATTAAATTATTAAATTCAAAAAATTCAATAGGTCCTTGAAAAGGTTTGTATTATTTAGAAAAGTTCTCTCCTCTCCCCTCAAAAATGAAAGATTGACAATTTTCTTCTCGAACATTGCCACTCTTAACAACAGAAAAGCAAGAACCCATTTTTCTTAAACAATTTTGTCAAAGATCATCACTGATATGAAGTCTGAAGAGTAAAGCATTGTAGGGAATAAAATTTTTAATTTCTGTTGAGCTAGCATTTAATGCATTTTTTTCAATGATTGTTTATTCTACAATATAAAATTAACTCTTTGATTGTTTTCCAATCTATTTCCATGACTGTAAGTTCTCAAACCAATTATTTGCATGCTCTTTAGTAAAATGTCCACTTGCACTTGAAATCAAGATTTTTTTCTTCATTCCAAAAATTTGAAGAACACATTGGAATGGGTTTTACTGAAAATAAAGCATGCACAAGCAAGTTTTCAGATGTCTGAACTCTTATCCATAAGAGAGTACATGTAGTTCTTTCTCTGTAATTCCATGTGAAAGACAATGTCTGGCCATAATTTATCCATTGACAATGTATGTTCTCTTTCAGGTAAACTGTTGCAGTGCTGATTTCACCCTGTAAAATTCAAATACATTGATTGTGGTAGTACTATCAGGTATTATCTCATGAAAGGAAATGTTGAGTTGCAAACTTAATTAAAAGACAATGAAATATTTTTTATAATTTTTTCTTACTTATCAAACAGGGTAGAATCATTAGCACTGAGAAGTTGTTGTAACAGTTTCTGTATTCCTAAATCTCGAAGTTTGGCTTGTCTGCTGTATGCTCCTGGAACAATACAAAATTATCAAGGATTTTATGAAATGTTATTTTGAAGAGCTAAAGGGAAATAACTCTTTGAACCTTCCAATTCCCCAACACTTTACAGTCCTCTACAGATGCTGTGAGCTCCCTTCACTGTAAGATATTGTGAGAATTGAACAAAAGTGAATTTTTGTTTCTGATAAATATAAAAAAAATTTTACCTTCTTGTTCATTCCACACCAGATTAGAGATACAAGAAGTAGCTGCTATCTGTAACTTTACATTGGTATGAACCTAAAGTTAACAAACAATATATTTTCATGAAAGAAATCAGGTTTTAGGCCTAATCAAAAGGATATAAGTATCTTAGGAATGTTAAAAAAAATCACAACAAAAATTAAAAATCCTTTTTAAAACATGTTAATCATATTCCAGACTAAATATCAAGGTAAATGTATATTCATCTTGTTATCACCATCTAAGTTACAGTAACAATTCCCCGAGATGATGGCTGAAGTTAACAATAATTGATACTTACCATATATGTCATGAGTTTCTTTAGAACATCTTCATTTCCCATGATGTATTCCTTTGCATCATCACCATCTGCCACATTGGTTAAGATACACAAAGTCTACCAAACAAAACATAATTATACTAAACTGTATGTACAATCCCAACAGTATCCTAAACACTATCTTATTTGTGTTTTAAGCTTGTTAAGTTCTATTTATTTCCTGAACTCTGTGTTATTAGGTTTGTAGTGTGTTACCTGTTCCTTAATTTCCACCACATGATCTCCCTCCAGGATAAAGACAACAGCTTGCATTATCTGATTTCCATAGACCTTCATTAAATGATCAATATCCTGTGGCAGAAAAAAAAATGTTACATACATATTATTTTTTAACAAGAGGCCCATGGGCCACATCGCTCACCTGAGCACTGTGGCTAGGAAAAGTACAAATTGGTTTATTATTGAAAAGTTTAAATCCAAAAGTAGTCCCATGACCAATCATGGATTTGCTATTCCTGAGAAGATGATTTTTGAAGAATTTCCTACGGGATTTCCACATATGTTTCAGCTTTTCTGACCCAGTGGTTCTTGAGAGGAAGATTTTTAAAGACTTTTCCTATATATTTCTATTTAAAACTCTGATTCCAAGTTTTGGCCCCATCCAACCACCGGGGGTCATAATTTGAACAATTTAAACGAATCTACACTACCCAGGCTTCCACATAAGTTCACTAAAGCTTTTCTGGTATACATCACTAAATCCTAATTAAAGTAGGTATACACATAAGATTTCCTAATTAAACGTCACTAGGTATATATTAAATCCTAATTAAACGTCACTAGGTATACATCACTAAATCCTAATTAAACGTCACTAGGTTTTCCTATATATTTCTCACTAGGTATACATCACTAAAACTAGGTATACATCACTAAATCCTAATTAAACGTCACAAGGTATACTTCACTAAATCCTATCATGGTATACATCACTAAATCCTAATTAAACGTCACTAGGTATACATCACTAAATCCTAATTAAACGTCACTAGGTACACATCACTAAATCCTAATTAAACGCCATATAAATCCTAATGGTTTTTACATCACTAAATCCTAATTAAAGAGGTATACATCACTAAATCCTAATTAAAGAATTTGCCTATATACTTCTAATTGTGTCAATTTTAGGTATACATCCCCTAATAAACGGTGGTATACATCACTAAATCCCGCCCCACCCCCAAGGGTTATAATTTGAACAATTTAAAGAATCTACACTACTGCAGGATGCTTCCACGTAAGTTTCAGCTAATTTCGGCTCAGGTGACCATTACAAAATGAAGCTACAGATTTTGTTTAAACTTCTCAGAATTTGAATTAAGTATTTGTCCTTTTCATATCTGCGTAAATTTTAGGTCAATCGGGCCTCCTTTTGTTAGGACTGTTACGACATTGTCTCAAGAAATTACAAAAATGAAGGAATTGAGTAATATATCATAAAATTAAAGGCAAATAAAAATATTTAACATATGAATTGTAGAGAGGATATGCTTGTTTAACGGTTTAATTAATTTTTACATCTGCTGATCCATTTAAAGCGATCAACATATTTAGCTCAAAATTATAAAGGTAAAAATAAATTGCTGCTTGATATTCTAACTACAGATTTCTTTTTCATATATTCCAATGTTCTCTCCCTTATATGGCATAAAAATTAGTGGGGCAGCGGGCATCAAACAAGAAAATTTGACATTATACCCTGAAAAATGATAATTTGAAAAATCTTTTTAACATCTATACTTTTAGGATTTTTAAAAACGTGAAATATTTAAAACTACGATAATACAACTGGGAGTTGAATATTTAATTAGACGGCCAAAAATTCGTTTTCACGATTCACAAAAATAGTAATCGGGTTCAATCTTTAAATGCAAACCGTTCATGCGCATGTGTGACGTTATGACGGAAGTGAAAGAAGAAAATACTTTGTTTCTACATTGGTCGTTTTGCGATTTATTTGATTAAAAAAAAATGGCACGTTTTACTACTTTTTGTGTCTATGTAATACTTTATTCATAGATACAAATAAGTGGTTTGTTTGCCACACTATCCTAAATCTACTTCATGTACGTTGTTTATCATGTTTTTATCCATATAATATACACATGTCTTTGATTGATATGTTCAGTGTTTCCACTAATGTTTGTTTGTTTAAACAATATAAACACCGTGCTTATAGGCGATCATATCCTTGGAACAGAGACCCCCTTCTTAAGGGACACTGAATGATCGAGGTTTTCCGTACATTCAGGTCCAGCACAATACCCCGCTAAAGGTATAGCTTTATCAAGATATTTAAAATACCTTGATCAAGGGATGTCCTTCACGGAGTTTTTGTCACACGCTATCAAAAAGAAAGGACCAACAACTCAAGAAAGATAACGACCCTTTTAGTAAGCTGTAGTGTCAACTGTGTCTTTCTGGCTAATTTTATTGGTTAAAAAAGTAATAGAGGTACTTTTAATCGTTGACAATCATTAGACAACTTACAGGTAATCTTTCTTTCTTATATGTCCTGAATTTCTATCCTGGCCACATATATTTCAACAATGATTGAAAGCTGTGTAAATTTTAGAGGCTAATTATATAACGAATATCCCGCCTTACTGAACGTCCATTTAGATAACAGTGAATTGTACTAAAAGTGACCTTGGACGGCAGGACCCCTGGGAAAAACACTCCGTGGTACCCTGAGTAAATAGAATGTTCTGTGTTAAAGTGATAGATATGGATCCAGTGAGCATTTGTTCCATGAGTTTTGACACAGATTCTCGAACCTGACTGAGCTGATGAACATCATTATGTATGAATATTTAATTTGTATGTATACTTGTATATTAAAAGTACCTGAGGTATACATGCATTATGAACATGGTCTAGTTTTAAAAAAAAAAAATCCTGCCTAAAATAAAAACATTTTCAGGAATCCAAGATGGTTCAATTTGACTTGTACTGGAGTTTACACAATTATACTTCTCTAAAATTGTACTAATAATGAAATAAAAAAAAAAGAAGATTTATTTCTTCTTCAGCTTTTTAATCCTGACACAGCACAAAATTAAACGTCACATTTATGGTTTGTATATTTGCATGCTGGTCAATACATTAAACTGTGTTCTTAGTGCATATTGATGTTAAAATAGATAAATGTGTAGGTGTATATATTTAAAGCTCAATATGATATCAAAAACTAGGAATAATACATGCTTTTTTTTTTCACTTGATAAAAAGTTTAACCCAAAAAAAAATTAAACTTTCACTGAAAGTGGGGTAAATACATCACTAAATCAAGAAGCCTTTGAGCTTTTGCATTGAAATTTTACACAGCAACTCTCTGTCACTAGGTATACATCAGGGTCAAGTTAAATCAATAAATTCTAATTTGTTTTTGAAAAACAAAACAATGTCATAACTTTTATAGACAGTATATATCACATAAATCATAAAATCTAAATTAAACGTCACTTTGTTTTTAGATTAATGCATATAAACCATCAACCTGATTATATGATTATAAATTAAACGTAACAAACCATTGGTATTCCTTTTTATATCACCCTCTATGATCTCAAATCCTAATTACATGTGTTCCCTTCTTTGTTACTGTCATACTATTTGTGGGTTTAATACATCACTCATGGTAATGCATAAAATTGTGATCTAGAAAAGTACACTGGGGATCCACATTATCTTATTAGCTACTGATATCTATCTATACTAATTAAACGAAATATCCCCTTCACGATATAGGTTTTTCTAATTTATTATACATATTGTATATATCGTAGATGACAAATATGTAATCCTGGAAATTAAACATATTATAACAAGAGGCCCAAAAGGTTCGAAAATGGTTATACATCACATATAATCCTAAATTAAACGTCACTAGGTATACATCACTAAATCCTAATACCCAAAGCACTACAAATGGTACTAAAGGTATACATAAAACAAATTTTTCTAAATTTTCCTATGTGTGTATTAAGGAATTTTTTTTTTGGTATACAATGAAATATTCTCTTTGTTTGTTTTTTATGAATAATTATTTTACTGCAAGGATATACAAAATAACAGAACATTTATATTTGTGCAGTCTGTTTTATGTATGATATATACTAAAAAAAATCCTCAAAAATTAAACGTCACTAGCAAAAAAAACAACAAATTTTTGTTTTAAAAATTGTATATCACTAAATCCGTGATTAATTGGTTATGTAACTATGTACAAACTAGGTATATATCACTATTTAATCCTTAATTAAACGATTGTCAGTCTTTTAGTTATCTTGTATACAATGAATCACTCCATGCCAATCTTTCGGTTTGACGAATCATCTAAATTTAAACGTCACCGGAAAATAAGAACATCGTATATTTATGCCTTTTATTTGGAAATTAATCACGGTAAGTGAAATCCTCAGGCATTTTTGATTAATAAGCGTCGGGCGCGTTTCACTAGGTATAACGTCACTAAATCCTAATTTAAACGTCACTAGGTATACATCACTAAATCCTAATTAAACGTCACTAGGTATACATCACTAAATCCTAATTAAACGTCACTAGGTATACATCACTAAATCCTAATTAAACGTCACTAGGTATACATCACTAAATCCTAATTAAACGTCACTAGGTATACATCACTAAATCCTAATTAAACGTCACAAGGTATACTTCACTAAATCCTAATTAAACGTGACTAGGTATACATCACTAAATCCTAAGTAAACGTCACTAGGTATACATCACTAAATCCTAATTAAACGTCACTAGGTATACATCACTAAATCCTAATAACCAATACTTATTTACTTTTAGTTATTTCATGAACATTTGAAATAGTGTATAATAGTAAAGTACATCTTTATATTTCTGACACATTACTTAATTATGTTTTGTTATTTTCAACAGATGGATACTTTTAAGATAGAGGGACCTCTTATTGATGAACAACTACCTGTCTGGCGAAATATTTTTCTTAGAAACAGACAATTTCAACTTTATTTTCGTTTTGGAAATCTATTCATTTCTTTTACATAATGTTTTAAATCAATTGAGGAAACTTGTAAATACTATTTATTATTAACGAGTTTTATGGTTGAACCATGAAATGAAGCAATAAAATTTTATTAATTGTCTATACCGATTGTACCAAGTTAAAATTGTACATTGTATGTGTTGTAATAAATTTAAAATATTTCGTTTTTATTTAAAACACTGCCACAAGAAGATCCCTGGAAAGGAAATAATGACAAGATTGTTCTATTGTCTAACGT